AGGGAGAACCAAGGTGTAGATGATGCAGGTAGCTCCAAGTCTGGGCATGTGCAGACTACATCAATAAGGACCACTATGAGTAAAGTTTAGCCAAACTGAATGTATTCTCTCTTGAGAAGAGATGACGGGGGATATGATAAACATGTATAAATACATAAGTAGTCCAAATAGTGAACTTGGTGTAGAGTTATTCACTTTCAAGTCATTACAGAGGACAATGGGGCACTCTTTGTGTCTGGAGGAAAACAGATATAAACATACTGAAAGGCTTCTTCATAGAAAAAGCTGTGAAAACGTGGAATAGATTCCCGCAAGAACTGGTTCTGGCCAACTAAGTAGGTTGTTTTAAAAAAGGCCATGATGCATTCCTTAATGAACAAAATATAACTGGATAATAAAGGAGAAGTACAGCCAAAGCTCTTTTGGCTGTACTTCTGTGGATCATAGGAGTGCAGTTCACTCTGCACTCCTGTGACCCGTTCTCAGCTAACAGCGGGCTGAAGGCCAATGTCAGCTGACGAAACTCGCCCGGTTCAGGCTGGGGAAAGATCCACACTTTAACTGCTTCCATACCGGGCACTTTTACCCCCTTCCTGCCCAGGCCAGTTTTCAGGTTTCAGCGCTCTCACACTTTGAATGACAATTGCACGGTCATACAACATTGTACCCAAACTAAAATTTTATAATTTTCTTCACACAACTAGAGCTTTCTTTTGGTGGTATTTAATCACCGCTGGGGTTTTTATTCTTTGCTAAATTAACAAAAAAGGACCAAAATTTTTTTTTTAAAAAAAACACGTTTTTCTTTGTTTCTGGTTTAAAAGTTTGCAAATAAATAATTGTTCTTCATAAATTTAGGACAAAATGTATGCTACTACATGTCTTTGGTAAAAATAACCCAAATTAGTATTTATTATTTAGTCTGTAGGAATGTTATAGAGTTCACAAACTATGGGATATATCTGAATATTGATCAATCCTAAAGTACTGACGGCCAATCTAATTTCTTGAGGTCCAAGAATATCAGAACAGTACAGATATCCCCCAAATGACCCCTTTTTGCAAAGTAGACAGTCCAACGTATTTTATAACAGGCATGGAGAGTTTTTTGAGGTTGTAATTTTTTGTCATAATTTTACGGAAATTAACCTCCCTGGCGATTTTCCCGAGTGTAGCTCGGGGTAACATTTCAGTACCAAAAGCGGTAACCCCGAGCTACACTCGGGAATACCATGCGGCGCTGCTCCGGCATGTGTTCTTCACTTACCTTACCCTGCGCTCCCACGATGTGTCCCCTGCAGCGTCCCCGGCCATCTCCTCCGGCCGATGCCGGCATCCGGCTTCTGTGTCCTGTCCCTGTGACGTCGGGACGTACGGGCGCCGCCGGCGGCGGGAAATTTAAAAATTTTAAAAAATGTCATTTTTTTTTTTTTTTTTTTACATTTTACACAGTAAAACATTGCTGTTTCAACCTATTTCACATACATATTGTCCCTAGTGCTTTGTCCTGCGCCCTGCCTGCATTTTGTCTGTTCTTTCTTTCCTGGAAACTGAGAAATGTCCATGGCGTCCAGAAAGTGTCCCTTTAGGTCAAAAGCGGTTTAGATCAGCTAGAGAACAGCGATAGTAAATCAGAACCACTTGCAGAATTGAGTGATAATGATTCGTGGGGGAAATTCGTCATCAGAAACTGAAAACGATTTTGCGACTGAGCTCAGCAATGTGCGAACTTGGCGCTCTATTTCACATTTCAGTGTTTTTGGTTTGATTATATTATTGAATTAAATTTTTTATTATTTTTATAATATTTTTATGATTATTTATTAAATTATAATTTATGATTTTGTGTTTCAAATTTTATCATACCCGGGATGTTTACTAGACTCTTGTTCGGACAGATTTCAGTGAGTTTTTCCTAAAAATTACAGCCTACAATAAAAAAAATACATATTTCCATGCAAAAAAACGGTACCGCTTTCAGCACCAAAAATCTGAAATAATCATACCGCCAGGGAGGTTAAGAAATAAAAAAAATGATTTTTCACTATTTATTTTTTTACATACTGTCACCAGTGCATTACAGCGTCATCATATAACTGGCATGGCAGTGATCAGGGACACTTATTTTTTATTACATTTTTTTCTCTTTTTTTAAGATTTGTTTTTCATATTTCACTATGACCAAAGTAGTATGATGTTACCATAGTAACATTGTACTACTTTGGGGAAGTGATCAGTATTTTTTTATCTTTTTTTTTTACACAATTTGCTTATAGCAAATAATTACTTTGCTAAAAGCAAGCATTTACCTGAATGAATTCGATTCATTCAGGATTTTTTTTTTCTTAACTGTGATTTGGCCACAGCTAATCACATGACACAGCTGGGCTGTGGTTGACCCAGCTTGTGCATATGATCGCTGTGACCATTCACAGCTAGCCACACTTGTATACAATGGATGGCATGAAAGGAAGCCATCCATTGTATACAACTGTCATGTGACCTGCTGTGATTGGTAACAGCACACCCCCAGGACTGTTGCCCTTGTGCTTATTAACCATTTGCCGCCTCCCTATGGCCAAATGGCAGGCGGCAAATGTCATCAGCGTTCCGGGTGGACGCCATAAGGCGTCCTCCCGCACATGCGCAGATTGCACTCCTTCAGAGCGGCACAGTGGCGCGATCTGTCACCGGCCGTGTACCTCGGACATGGCCGATGACAGATCTGAGTATCGGCCCCCGTTGCCGGTACCATGTGACCTGCTGTGACCAATCACAGCAGGTCACATGACAGTTGTATACAATGGATGGCTTCATTCATGCCATCCCTTATATACTACTGCCTAGCTGTGAATGGTCACAGCTAATCACATGCACATGTCATGTGCTTAGCTGTGGCCAAATCACAGCTAAGCACAAAAAAAAAAAAAAAAAAAAAAAAAAAAAACCCTGAATGAATCGATGTCATTCAGGTAAATGCTTGCTTATAGCAAAGTAATTCTTTGCTATAAGCAAATTGTGTAAAAAAAAAAAAAAATACTGATCATTTCCCCAAAGTAGTACAATGTTACTATGGTATCATTGTACTACTTTGGTCATAGTGAAATATGAAAAAAAAATCTTAAAAAAAAGAAAAAAAAAATGTAATAAAAAATAAAACAATTATAAAAAAAAAAAAAAAATATATAATTTTTTTTTCATACTGTTACCAGTCAGTGTCCCTGATCACTGCCATGCCAGTTATATGATGACGCTGTACTGCACTGGTGACAATACGTAAAAAAAAAATTGTGAAACTAATTTTTTGCATTTTTTCATTTTCCGAAAAATTATGACAAACAAAATACAACTTCAAAAAACTCGCCATGCCTCTTATGAAGTACGTCGGACTGTCTACTCTGCAAAAAGGGGTCATTTGAGGGATATCTGTACTCTTCTGACATTCTTGGACCTCAAGAAATTAGATTGGCTGTCAGTACTGCAGGATTGATCAATATTCAGATCTATATCATAGTTTGTGAACTCTATAACTTTCCTACAAACTAAAAAATACATCCTAATTTGGGTTATTTTCACCAAAGACATGTAGTAGAATACATCTCGGCCTAAATTTATGAAGAACAATTATTTATTTGCAAACTTTTATAACAGAAACAAAGAAAAAACCTTTTTTTTTCAACATTTTTGGTCTTTTTTTGTTAATTTAGCAAAAAATAAAAACCCCAGTGGTGATTAAATACCACCAAAAGAAAGCTCTAGTTGTGTGAAGAAAATTATAAAATTTTAGTTTGGGTACAATGTTGTATGACCGTGCAATTGTCATTTAAAGTGTGAGAGCGCTGAAACCTGAAAACTGGCCTGGGCAGGAAGGTGTAAAATTGCCCGGTATTGAATTGGTTAATCTGCCATACTAGGTGCAGATTGAGGGATTGCCCACAAGGGTATTCACAAACAAATGCTGCTGGAGCAAAAAGGGTTAATTCTATCTGTGACTTGTCACCAGAGACATCAGGGAGACTGATTGAGAATTGCAGTGTAAGTGCGGCTGAGAGAGAGATGGCAGGAAAGACTAAGCATATCTGTGTGTGTGCTCCAGAAAAATGGGATGCACACATGCAGTACAACTAACCCAAAGGTGTTGCTGCTAATGCTCCACAGTTAACTCCTTTAAAGACAGACCAGGGCTTAAAAACACACACCTGGCTTTCACAGTAAACGGCAAAGCCCTGACTCTAGTAGTGGTTCTAAGACCGGTGGTTCCCTCCAAAGTAGGACACTCTAGGGGCAGTTAGGCAGGATGCGGAGGAAATGCCCCATCGAACTAGACTTTGCCCTCCTGGCAGGGAGGCACCCTCTAAGAAATCTTCATGGAAAAGGTTCCACCACACCACAGCCCTTGGACCTAACGCAGTGTTGAGTGCTCAGGGGGCACATTACAGGCTGCCCATGCTCCCTCTTTACAGTGGGGCCTGAGTATGGCCTTCAAGACTATTCTGAGGATAAACTGATCCAGAAAGCAGAAAAATAAGCCCCAGTGGCTCTACAAGAACTGCATAATCTGGTTAAAAGAAAATAATGTCTTAGATAAGATATTCTAATTTTCTGCAAGAAAACTGGAAATTTATGCAGGGGTAGAAACCTCTTATTCAGTCTAGGAACTTACTGTATAAGACCAGTCTAGGACCCTGTATGGAACAAGACAAGTTCTGGTTAAACCCAACTACACCAATTATTTGGTCTTTAATATGTATCAGATTTGCATGGTCATGCTTCATCAGGCAGCCTTGAAAATTATTTGTTTTTATTTTTTTGGGTTTGATTTTTGTATTTTCTTATTCCTTTTTTCTTGGTTTAAAATTTGGGATAATGTTTTAAATACAGAATTCAAATAAAAAAAAACAATTGCACATACTCCTCTGCACTTAGTTACATACAGAACAAGAAGTTTGCCAGTAACGGGGGCAGGAAAAGTCTGAAACAACATATAATAGTAGATTTACCCTTGAGATCTGTCCATTCGATGCATGGTTCCCTCCTCTTATTACTACCAGTTGTTTTGTTACTGATCCTTCATCACTTGGGGACTTTGTCCGTGGAGGAACAATTCCAACTTAGAACATACACAACAGAAAAAGAATTAGAAAATGGACACAACATCTCAGTGCACCTAGCTATCCCATTACAACCCACCCTATGTTTAGCTCTATTCTCTGCCTTTTCATTCAAATAACCGCAACAATATAAACTCTGTACTGTTATCTCTACAACATTTGCTCCAGACATTCCTTTCTATTGGTCAGGACTAAATTTACTGTATGGCAAACTTTGCATCCTCCCCATCCCTGGGATATGATTTTTCTCAAATGGCTGCTTGAGGTATACCTAAATCCCTAATACATATTCTTTGTCCAAGCACACTTAAATTATTCCCTGGTTCAGAACTTTTTACTCTATATATACAGTGAAGGAAATAAATATTTGATCCCCTGCTGATTTTGAAAGTTTGCCCACTCACAAAAAAATGATGGGTGTATTGTAACACTGAGAGATAGAATAGCAACTAAAAATTCAAAAGAAATGCATGTCTAACAAATTATGCACTGATTTGCATGTTCATGGGGGAAATAAGTATTTGATCCCTATCATTCAACAGGATTTCTGTCTACCAGGTGTCTTTCAGACAGGTAACAAGCTGAGATTAGAAGCAGTCTCTTAAAGGTAGTGCTGCTAATCTCATTTTGTTACCTGTATAAAAGACACCTGTCCACAGGAGCAATCAAACACTAAAATTACAAACTCTCCAGCATGGGAAAGACCAAAGAGCAAAGACAAGAATGTCAGGGACAAGATTGTAGACCTACACAAGGCTGGACTGGGCTACCAAACTATCGTCAAGCAGCTTGGTGAGAAGGTGACAACAGTTGGTGCAACAGTTCGCAAATGGAAGAAACACAAAACTGTCAGTCTCCCTAGGTCTGGTGCACCATACAAGATCTCACCTCATGGAGTGTCAATGATCATGAGAACAGTGAGGAATCATCTCAGAACTACACGTGAGGATCTTGTCAATGATCTCCAGGTAGCTGGGACCAAGAAAACAATTAGTAACTACGCCGACAAGGAATGAAATCCTGCAGTGCTCGCAAGGTCCCTCTGCTCAAGAAAGCACATGTCCAGGCCAGTCTGAAGTTTGCCACTGAACATCTGAATGATGCAGAGGAGGACTGGTTGAAAGTGTTTTGGTCAGATGAGACCAAAATCGAGCTCTTTGGCATCAACTCAACTCACCGCCTATGACCCCAAGAACACCATCCCAACTATCAAACATGGTGGTGGAAACATTTTGCTTTGGGGGTGTTTTTCTGCTAAGGGGACAGGACAACTGCATTGCATCATGTAACGTCAAATCTTGGGTGAGAACCTTCTTCCTTCAGCCAGGGCATTGAAAAAGGGTCGTGGATGGGTGTTCCAGCATGACAATGACCCAAAACACATGGCCAAGGCAACAAAGGAGTGCCTTAAGAAGAAGCACATTAAGCTCCTGGAGTGGCCTAGCCAATCTCTAATCCGTTTAGCAACTCGAACTTTCAGCTCCCTCCACAGGTTTTCAAACGTCAGCCACCAAACCCTAATGACTTGGAGAGGATCTGCCAAGAGGAGTGGTCCAAAATCTCTCCTGAGATGTGTGCAAACCTGGTGGCCAACTACAGGAAATGTCTGACCTCTGTGATTGCCAACAAGGGATTTGCCACCAAGTACTAAGTCATGTTTTGTGAAGGGGATCAAATACTTATTTCCCTCATGAACATGCAAATCAGTGCATCATTTGTTACACATTCATTTCTTTTGAATTTTTTGTTGCTATTCTGTCGCTCAGTGTTACAATACACTTACCATTTGATTTTTAGACTGATCATTTCTTTGAGAGTGGGCAAACATTCAAAATCAACAGGGGATCAAATACTTATTTCCTTCACTGTGTGTGTGTATATATATATATATATATATATATATATATGTATATATATATATATATATATACACATACACACACGCACAGTATATCACTGCTTGAAAGTACTGTTCTCTGTGTATAGTCACCAATATTGCATAAATGCTGATGATGTTCAGTTCGATTTGCAGCTTCCCTCTGTCTTAACGTGTTTCTATCTGCATTCCAACCATCTGTAAATGGATTAATGAAAGGTATCTGATGAAGAGATAAGCTATTTTTTATTTTCACCTTCACACTGCAAAACACTTTTCATATCTAGAGGATTGAGTCCTGATAAATTTCAAGGTCACAACATCTCAAACTATGCAGCTACCTTTCTCAAAACACCATCAGGTTTCTAGTGCCAGTCTTCCTATTTTCTAGTCTTGACTTCAGCTTCTTTTGTTTACTATTCCACTAACTTGACTCTAAATTCATTCATAAAGCAGATAAAGGATTTACAAAGAAATGTAATGCCAATATTGGAACTGTAAATGTACCAGAACTTCTTCTGTTGAGTAGGTGCCAGAGACTCTGTTGTGCCAGTGGACAGGAAAGCAGTATTGACATCTAATTTGAGATATCACTCAAGTAATAAAACCTAACAGTCAAGTAATCGATTCCGAGGTCTTAAGTAGGTTATGAGGTTGATTTACTGAAGGCAAATATACTGTGCACTGCAAGTGCAGTTGCTCCAGGTGCTCAGTAAATTAGGTAAAGCTTTACTTTGCAAAGAGTACCCAATCACAAGCAAAGAAAATAAAAAAACAGCATTTTTGCTTGCACATGACTGGGTGATAGAAATCACCAGAGCTTCCCTTCACTTAAGAGCCCCCCCCCCCCCCCCCCCCATCTAGAGCAATTGCACTTGCAGTGCACATGCTATTTAACTTTAGCAAATTAACCCCACTGTGTACAATAGAAAAAAATGTATGCTCATCAAAATATAATTCACGGATTTGGATTGACTGAATGTGAAAATGTTTATGGATTTGTTAAGTTTTGATAATTTTAAAAAAAAATATAATGTTGGATGTTATGGTATAACGTTCTGAGACCTTTTAAGTCCCAATGATGATACAGTGGATATAGAAAGTCTACCCACCCCTATTAAAATGTCAGGTTTCTGTGATGTACAAAAAAATGAGACAAAGATGAATCATCTCAGAACCTTTTCCACCTTTAATATGATTTATAAACTGTACAACTCAATTGAAAAACAAACTGAAATCTGTTAGGAGGGGAGGGAAGTAAAAATAAAAAACTAAAATAATGTGGTTGCATAAGTGTGCACACCCTCTTATAACTGGGGATGTAGCTGTGTTCAGAATTTAGCAATCACATTTACAATCATGTTAAATAAGAGTCAGTACACACCTGCCATCATTTAAAGTGCCTCTGGTTAACCCCAAATAAAGTTCAGCTGTTCTAGTAGGTCTTTCCTGACATTTTATTAGTCGCATCCATGGTCCACAGAGCTTCCAAAGCATCAGAGGGATCTCATTGTTAAAAGGTACCAGTCAGGAGCAGGGTACAAAAAAATTTCCAAGGCATTAGATGTACCATGGAACACAGTGAGGACAGTCATCATCAAGTGGAGAAAATATGGCACAACGGTGACATTACCAAGAACTGGACATCCCTCCAAAATTGATGAAAAGACAAGAAGAAAACCGGTCTGGGAGGCTGCCAAGAGGCCTACAGCAACATTAAAGGAGCTGCAGGAATATCTGGCAAGTACTAGCTGTGTGGTACATGTGAAAACAATCTCCCGTATTCTTCATATGTCTGGGCTACAGGGTAGAATGGCAAGATGGAAGCCTTTTCTTACGAAGAAAAACATCCAAGCCTGGCTAAATTTTTGCAAAAACACATCTGAAGTCTCCCAAAAGCATGTGGGAAAATGTGTTCTGGTCTGATGAAACCAAGGTTGCATTTTTTGCCCATAATTCCAAAAGATATGTTTGGCGCAAAAACAATACTGCACATCACCAAAAGAACAGGATGGGCTTTTGTCTTTTTTTAGCCAGACTAACTATGTAACACCATACCCACAGTGAAGCCATGGTGGTGGCAGCATCATGCTTTAGGGCTATTTTTCTTTAGCTGGAACTGGGGCCTTAGTCAAGGTAGAGGGAATTATGTGCAGTTCCAAATACCAGTCAATATTGACACAAAACCTTCAGGCTTCTGCTAGAAAGCTGAACATGAACAGGACCATCTTTCAGCGTGATAATGACCCAAAGCATACATCCAAATCAACAAAGGAATGGCTTCACCAGAAGAAGATGAAAGTTTTGGAATGGCCCAGTCAGAGCCCAGACCTGAATCCGATCGAAAATCTGTGTGGTGATCTGAAGAGGGCTGTGCACAGGAGATGCCCTCGCAATCTAACAGATTTGGAGGGTTTTTCCAAGGAAGAGTGTCCAAAAATTGGCAAGTCAAGATGTGCCATGCTGATAGATTCGCACCCAAAAAGACTGAGTGCTGTAATAAAAAATCAAAAGGTGCTTCAACAACTTATGCAACCACATAATTTTAGTTTTTTATTTTTACTTCCCTCCACCTAAAATATTTAAGTTTGTTTTTCAATTTAGTTGTACAGTTTATAGGTCACATTAAAAGGTGGAAAAAGTTCTGAAATTATTTATCTTTGTCTCATTTTTTTTACATCACATAAACCTGACATTTTAACAGGGGTGTGTAGACTTTTTATATCCACTGTATTAAACATCTCGGTAGCCCGCAGACTGAATGGAAAAAAATCTTTATATGGCCAGTTTTAGCAGTTTAGATGCATGGTTTGATTGAAGTGCTTTTGTATTATGAAATATTTATCTATATTTTTCACCACTCCTCACTCCATTCAGAATAAATAAAGACAATTTACTGATAAATGTCATTTAACAGTACCTTTATTTGCAGCCTGCTGTTGTAATTGCCATTGTTTTTCAGTCTCTACATCTGTTCTTGAAGACAGGGAGCCAACTCCTTCATTAGGCAGAGGTGTTATGAAATGGGGTGATTCTCTCTTATATGGCTCTAAGCTGAGCTTTACCTGCAAAAAGAAAAGTAAAATAAATAAAATAGAAACCAAAGGAAAGGGAGTTACACTAACAAACACACAGAAATATATAAAATAACTTTATAGAAACTGACAGCATTAAGAGCATTTAACCTAGGTTCATCTAAGTATGCAATGGCTGGATTTTTACCATGTCTTTCGATACTACTTAACAGCAAAGCTTCTTTTTGCCCAAGCTGCAATTTGTAATGCCGCAATTATAAACAGCAATAATATTAATTCAGAGAATTGCAATAATGCAACCTGGATGCCAGGTACATAACCTTCCTAATAACCTTTTGTACACTTTTATTTATTGGTTATTGCCCGTTGAGCTGCAGTTTCATTCAGTGCAATGCTATGCTACACATATGTGGATTCTTTTGGCAAGGCATATAACAAAGGATAGACAAATCGATATGGTAGGGAAAAATCCTGTCTCTAACAATTGTTTATGAGAAAATCCAGATTCCAATTATAGTATGCCAAGTTGCTTGATGTCGATATATGGAAATTTTGCACCAAAAAGGTGAGTTCATTTTTTAATTCTTGATGGTGCCCAGCAGTCTTTCCTATGCACACTTGCATGACATTTCATCCTCCAACTCTACCTGCCTACTTGTTCCCATTTCCAGTTAGTAAGATTGTTTTACCATTTTCTGAGTGCAACAGAAGCTTGACACATCTCAGTACTGCTCAGAGACTTCATCAGTTCCACTTTATACTGGGGGCTGGTTTCAAAAGTTATCATCCCTATATCACAGTGCATTTTGCTAAATGGTGTTGTTCACCATAGGTGTTACTAAACCTGGGAAACGAGAGGCATGTGCATGTGCCCTGGGTCTCTTGCCCAGTGTCTCAGGACCAGCAAACCCTATTCATTACAGAGTCCTGACTGGTGAACTCTATATGCTACATTGTATTTTACACAGTCCAACCCCTGCAGTGTACACTTAAAGTGTTACTAAACCCACAACAGTAAAATCAGTCTGTATATGCAATATGTGTCACTTTGTGTTGGTCTATCACATAAAATCCCAATAAAATACATTTATGTTTTTGGTTGTATCATGACAAAATGTGGAAAATTTCAAGGGGTATGAATACTTTTTCAAGGAACTATAAATGCTGAACGCTCATGCATAGGGGCTAAATACCCAGTCTATATGAGGTCAATAAGAATTCCTTTACACTCATCCCCTGCATATACTGCCTGCTGTCATTCCCTCTGCACTGCACTGAACATACTGTTCAATGGATTGAAAAAGTTGTTTTGTTTGTATATTAACCCAAATATTTTTTTTTACATTTAGAAAGTTTACATTTGGAAGGACAGTACCCTGGAACACAAAGAAAGACACCTTACTTGTTTTTTTTTAAACAGAAGCCAGGTTTCAGCTGTGCTAACACATTTAGAAAGGTGTTTGCAATAGCCAATTGCCATGAAAACATGATTATTTAAACATGAACAAAGAGCAACTTTGGACAGTTAGTTGTAGGAAATTAGACTTGCAGTCATAAGTGAATAATAAGTGGATAAATAAGTAATTATATGCAGAAATAGCCAATTCCAATGTGTTAATTATAATATTTTATAGTTATAACACTAAAAAAAAAAAAGACAAATGCTTCTCAATCAGGTCATACAGTTGTGTCCAAAATTATTCAACCCCCAATGCTGTAAAGGGGTTTAGGGACTATAGTGTACATTTGGAATTGTATTCAGAATCAAATCCTACAAGGACGTTGTAACTACCCAAATGCAACTAAAATGACATCAATTGTTTATGTAATACAGTAGTAAATGGTTCTTATGTGGTTTCTTCATTGCCACAATTATTCAACCCCTTAAAGACTACCACTCTGAAGAACAGAGGTTCATACAGGTGCTTTCCATCAGGTATTGAAAACACCTGTGGATGTCACCGAGCAGCAATCAAGCATAATAAGCACCAATTAGGCAGCTTTAAAATGACTGTGATACTCAGCTCCTTCTAGACATTTACTGGTGTGGTTACAAACATGGTGAAGGCAAGAGAATGGTCCAGGAAGACAAGAGAAGAGGTGATTTCTCTTCACAGGAAGGGCAATGGCTATAAGAAGATTGCAAAGATGTTAAACATACCAAGAGACACCTTAGGAAGCATCATTCGCAAATTCAAGGCAAAGGGCACTGTTGAAACGCTACCTGGTCGTGGCAGAAAGAAGATGCTGACTTCGACTGCTGTGCGCTACCTGAAGCGTAGAGTGGAGAGAAGTCCCCGTGTGACTGCTGAGGAACTGAGAAAAGATTTGTCAGATGTGGGTACAGAAGTTTCAGCCCAGACAATAAGACGCACACTGCGTAATGAAGGCCTCCGTGCCAGAACTCCCAGGCGTACCCCCTTGCTGTCTCCAAAGAATAAGAAGAGTCGACTGCAGTATGCCAAAAGCCATGTGGACAAACCACAAAAGTTGTGGGATAGTGTTCTGTGGACTGATGAAACAAAATTAGAACTGTTTGGGCCCATGGATCAACGCTATGTTTGGAGGAGGAAGAACAAGGCCTATGATGAAAAGAACACCTTGCCTACTGTGAAGCATGGTGGAGGGTCAATCATGCTTTGGGGCTGTTTTGCTTCTGCAGGTACAGGGAAGCTTCAGCGTGTGCAAGGTACCATGAATTCTCTTCAGTACCAGGAGATATTGGATGGAAACGTGATGCAGTCCGTCACACACCTGAGGCTTGGGAGACGTTGGACCTTTCAACAGGACAATGATCCCAAGCATACCTCCAAGTCCACTAGAGCATGGTTGCAGAGGAAAGGCTGGAACATTTTGGAGTGGCCCATCGCAGTCACCAGACTTAAATCCGATTGAGAACCTCTGGTGGGACTTAAAGAAAGCAGTTGCAGTGCGCAAGCCTAAGAATGTGACTGAACTGGAGGCCTTTGCCCATGAAGAATGGCGGAGGCTTTATTGCGAAGATACCCGTAGATCGCTGCAAGACACTTGTGTCAAGCTATGCTTCACGTTTAAAAGCTGTTATAACTGTAAAAGGATGCTGTACTAAGTACTAAGATTGAATGTCACTTGGGGGTTGAATAAAACTGATAATGCTGTGAGCACAGAAAAGACATTTGTGGTTATTTCATTATAACTGTTATGTTATATTTGTCTGACCTACAAGTGCCTCTTTAATGTAAATGTAAGCAAGATGACTGAATGATCAAAAGCAATGTCAAACTGGCCAAAACACTCAATTTCAGTGGGGGTTGAATAATTTTGGACACAACTGTAGATGTCATCAATGTGAAATGGAATACTGGGGTTATGGCTGCAGCAATGTGCCATAACCCTGTTATTGCTTTTTTCAGCTGGCGATATTCCAGCCGATAAAAGTGGTCAAAGCGGCGAATTCGCCACTGGATCACTTTTAGAAGCAGCAGGAGATCTAGCACTAGATCTCCTCTGTAATCTTAAACTGGTAACCTGTAGAAATTTATAAAGCGTTGCCTATGGAGATTTTTAAGTACTGAAATTTGGCATCATTCCACGTGTGTGAGCAGTTTTAAAGCATGACATGTTACTACGCATAATATCATCTTTCATATTTTACATAAAAATTTAGTTATATATTGTGCTTTGTTTTTTTGTTTTTTTTTTAATTCACAATTTTTTTCCCAAAAAATTGCATTTAAAAAATTGCAGCGCAAATACCGTGTGACATAAAAAAACCTAGCAATGACCGCTATTTTATTCTCTAGAGCCTCTACTGAAAAAATATATAATGTTTGGGGGTTCTAAGAAGTGTTCTAGTAGAAAAACACAGATTTTTACATATATGAGAGAAGTGCCAGAATTGGCCCATTAAGGTTTTGAATGCCATTGCATATGCAGGGGTGTGGAAATTTTTTTAAAAAAAAAACTGTATGTCTAAGGTACTAAATTAGGGTCCCAATCTACATGTCCTAATAAAAAATATTATTTTTTGTTGCCAGGATGGAAAATTTGAAGGGTTGATATATTTTATTAGGCAAAGGTGCTTTTAGGAATGTCTGGGGCTTTTAAAAATAAAAAGGGGCTACATGGCGACTTAAACTTAAATTTTTTTCCTAGAAAACATCTTATAACCCCCAAACATTTTATATTTTTTAAAGCAGAGGTATCACTGTAACACATAACCCAAATTTTTGGTAAAATGTAAAAGACGATGTTTAAAATTGCACATGCCCGTGCAATGGCAACAAGCAAAGTAATTTATACTATTGATAGGCCACGCTTTGAAACCTTTACAGGTTACCACTTACAGTTAGGTCGATATATATTATTTGGACACAGGCACAAATTTAGTTTTGTCAGGTATTTACCAAAACATATTCAAGCTATAGTTATAGAATGGATATGGGCTGCAAGTGCACACTCTCAGGTTTAATTTGAGGGTATGTACATCCAAATTGGAGGAAGGGTTTAGGAATTACAGCTCTTAATAGTCACCCCCTTTTTCAAGGGACCAAAAGTAATTGGACAAATGAATATAATCAGAAATAAAATGTTCCTTTTTTAATATTTTGTTGAGAATCTTTTACTGGCAATGATTGCCTGAAGTCTGGAACCCATGGACATTACCAAAGACTGGGTTTCCTCCTTTTGATGCTTTGCCAGGCTCTAACTGCAGCTGTTTTCAGTTGTTCTTTGTGGGTCTTTCTGCCTTTAGTTTTGCCTTCAGAAAGTGAAATGCACGCTCAATTGGGTTGAGATCAGGTGATTGACTCGGCCATTGCAGAATATTCCACTTATTTTCCTTCAAAAGCTCCTGGGTTGCTTTTCCAGTTGTTTTGGATCATTGTCCATCTGTGCTGTGCATCGCCGTCCAATCAACTTTGCTGCATTTGGCTGAATCTGGGCTGACGGTATATCTCTAAACCAGGGTTCCTCAAACTTTTTAAACAGGGGGCCAGTTCACTGTCCCTCAGACCGTTGGAGGGCTGGACTATAGTTTTAAAAGAAAAAAA